AAACCTGAAACATTCTGGCGATGTTTCAGCACTCAGCCTCTACCAAATCTCTGTATTTGCTTTCTGCGGTAGGACTCAGCGACCTTCTTGGAGACAATACATGAATAGGGTTTCACGTACTGGAGAACGACTGGATAAAGCCAACAAACATGAAACACAAAAACAAAACAGTCAATTACAATTGCAGAATCGGTTGCGAAACCTGAAACATTCTGGCGATGTTTCAGCACTCAGCCTCTAGCAAATCTCTTTATTTGCTTTCTGCGATAGAACTCAGCGACCTTCTTGGAGACAATACATGAATAGGGTTTCACGTACTGCGAGACCCCCTCCCAACCCCACCAGGTGTCATTATTGTTACGTCGACAACCAAGCCAGCAGCTGGAGCCTTGGAGGTCAAGACCCCCTCCCAACCCCACCAGGTGTCATTATTGTTACGTCGACAACCACGCCAGCAGCTGGAGCCTTGGAGGTCACGCGCGTTCAAGGTATAGGTGCTGATGGCTTTCTAGAATTCATATTACGTATCGCATTCTGCCGCGCTCTTGATCGTTGCATGGGCCAAGATATGCATTTGCCGAGAGTTTTGCGAAATGGTGCCATCCTGACAAGACGACCACAACCTAGGACTGTAGGAGCTGCAACTGCCCCTCCCCATCCACCGACCCCAAGGGGAATTACTCCATCTGAGCAGCCCAAGACAAGCAAAAGCACAGCATAGTTACCAGAGCTGCAACTGCACTGGCAGTCACATACCTACGGTTGGAGGGATCAGCATCGAGCCAACCTGAAAATTTCAGAGGCTCCGGGCCACCGAACTGAAATGACTTGCGGCACCAGCCAAAAGGAAAGAAAAAGCGTCGTACTGTTTTTTGGGGCACACCTTGGTGTGCAGTGGCAATTCGTCCGGCAAAATGGGACTCAGATGTACAGGTGGTGTAACTAGGGGAGAATAAAAATGAAAAGTTACAGTGTAGTCACCAGGGTGAGGTGTGATATTGTGGAATAACCAGCATAATCCTGTGACACCAAGGGTGCACACAGTGTCCTAGCCTCCCAGCCCTGCCACACTCTTGATCCCTTGGCCCTCCCTTCGCTGTCCAAACCAAAGCAATCGCCAGCTCAGCATGAAGCAAAATGAAGGGGTCAATCAAAGTGGGACTAAGAAGAGATGAGATGGGGAGCCCGCAACTCCCCACCCCTGAACTTTTCCATAGGCGCAAGTCGGGCTGACCAGAGGGAAGGACTGGGTGGAGATGAGGCAGGGGAGGGGGAAGGGAGGGCCATGGAGCCCCAGCGCTCCTCACTCCCCGCTCCTGGTCTCTCCCATAGCCCCAAAACTCTGACAGAGACCATCAGCCCACAGCCCCACTGACTTGATCATTGCTTTTGTGCGAGGATTTCGCTCCTCGGCAGGCCTAAGGGCCCCATTTTGCATATGTGCCCGCCCTAAGGGAAGGCGGGCCTGATGAAATCACGAGGGGTGCGTCGGTTGGTTGAAGGAACCCAGGCCACAGCCAGCCACACTTTGTTTCGGCCCTCTAGGCCTTTCTTCGAAGCAGGCCCTGGGCCACACCTGCAGCAGTATACACGACAGGCAGTTGGGAGGCGTAACCAAACGGGGCCCAGGGCAGTAGCAGCAGAGGCTCAGCCACCCGGGGCCTACCAGAAGTTTCTGGGCACAGGCCCAGCCCAACCAGGCAGAGCACAGGCCAGACTCTTTCCATATAGGAAAGAGCTCGCTGCCTGGCCAGTCATTCGGGCACTTGCTAGTTTGGGGCAGCGCTGCTGGAGCGAGCGCTCGCGGGCTGCTGCTAGCGCAGAGCAAGGTGCAACGCACGTGCGGTTGTGTGGAAGGAAGGGCGCTGCTGAGGGCAGCGCCGTAGCCCAGATTCCATAGCTGGTTGGTGCTTGGTTGTACAGCGAAGCGTAGTGGTGGTCTTCGTGCATGAGGGAGAAGAAGTGGGTGATAGACAAGGGAGAGAGAGGGAGAGATGAGGATGGTGGCGTGAGGGCACATACCTGGTATTGGCGATAGTCTGCAAGAGGCGACATCTTCATGTACTTCAGTGGCTGCTGACGTCAACAGTTGCATGGTGGTTTAAGATTTTTGTGTTATGCTGTAATTTTTCTGTGTTTTCTGAGTGTGTGTGACACACTGATGACGGTCTGTGTGCTGGAATGGCCCGCGCGCCTGGCACTCACCTGTGGCTGAGTGTGTTTCAAGGGTGCAGCGGGTAGAGCAGTGAAAAGGAGCCCCCTGGAGGCCAGAAATCAAGTAGCAACGGGTAGGTGGCAGAAAAAGACAAAGAGGTAGTACCTTTCAGCAGGCCGAGCTACTGTTTCAGAGTCCAGTAGGCTTAGGGGTAGGTACGGTGTCCAGGAGGCTTAGGTCTAGAGCCTGCAGAGGGGAGAGATCAGACTCCAACGAAGTACGGTGTCCAGGACGCTTAGGTCTAGAGCCTGCAAAGGGGAGATATCAGACTCCAATGAGGTTCCCCCAACCATGGTGGTTTAAGATTCTCTGTTTCTTGCATCATGGTGTTACATGAGCTGGTGGTTTACATGGGGAAAATTAGAAGCAAAGGGGCAGCCGGAGGGCGAGGGGGGGGGGAGTGAATATGTTTAAGGCAATTGGAACAGCGCCACTCTTCTAGACAGAAAATAGGAGAATCCATAATATAGTGCACAATTCTGGAGCTCAAATCACAGGCCAACGTACCTGGGGAGGGTCACATCTCAGGCACCTCTCATGCAGAATCCGGCAGGCTGCAAAATGTGAAATCATACTAAGGACATACTCACACTAGGACTCCCTAGATTGAATCTAACCGCAAAAAATTACAGGCTGATTCGTTCCAAACCAAGTGGTAGATGATCCAGAGGGCCAAAAGAGAACATGCACAATTGCCAAAGAACAGGTAACAGCCTGCACTAGCCTACTGACAGTACATCAATTGCCCAGTGTAAAAGAGATGGAACAAACCTGGTCCTTGTCCTCGGGGATCGTTGCAGATGTCGTTTCAGTACCACCACTTCCAATGAAGCCCCCGACCAGCCGCCCTGGCACTCCAAGCACACCACTGAGCATCCCCCTTCTTCCTAATGGACGACGAGACAATCCCACTCGCTGTTTATCCTCCTCAGAGAAGCCCAGCATGCGCGCCATAAGGTCCAGTACCTGCCACAGTTCAGATATCAGATGAACTCCTCGTGCCCAGATGTGCCTTGCGGCACTACACCTCAGAACTCTGCGTGTGTTTGTTGTGTGTAATGTAGATTTGCACCACAACAGCCCCTCTTCCACCCAGATGAGTAGATCCAAAATCAACAACTTTACCTCTATTGCAGACAATGAAGCACACACTTGAGATGAACGAAGTCATAGCGTCGTCCTCAGTTTGATATGAAGTACAAAAAAAATATAAGGTAATGGCTATGGTATATGCTGCCAAATTCAAGCTTCGCTCACGGGCTAAGGCTGGTAGGCACCTTTTGCATTGATCTGCTTCTGATTCAATATAGTATCAATAGCTATAGCAGTCTTACCTGTTTGTCTATCTCCAGTAATAAGTTCTCGTTGACCACGACCTGTTGGAACAAGGCTATCCACCGCTTTTAATCCTGTTGGCATTGGTTCATGCACAGATTTACGTGAAATAATTCCCGGAGCTTTGACTTCTACACGTCTTCGCTCTACAGCGCTTTTAATCCACCCTCTGTAGAGAGTTCGGAATTTCGTTTTGATGCTGCAATAACAGAAAAACATAAACTTTGAAGTTCGATGGCTAAATACATGGCAATCAAATCATATCAATACATCTTTCTATGATGATACCAGTCTTTCTGATGTTTACTAGCTTTTTAAACCACCAGTACCATTTAGCTGGCCCTGCCGAACGTATCTGCGGCCAGTGCCCCGATGCTGAGGGAGGGCAAGGCAAAGAAAAAGGTGTTACGAACTTGGTTGTCTGACGAATTTTCTCGGCACTCACACACAGACAGTCTCATACATGCCCATACATGCACAAGAGATGGGGAGAGAGGTGACAGAGTCCCCACTGCACACAGGAGAATATAAACAGCGGAAGACAATTATGCACAGCAGGGGAGTAGACACACACTGTTTCTCACTCTCTGACACAGCTCCCAACAACCAATCACAAGAAAGAACCTGCGAGGTTCACAATTGAAACTGTCACTGATGATGAGCCACTCACACAATTATCGTAACAGAGTTTGTTCCAGTATCTCGCCACACCCAACTCACACCCCACTCCCTATCCTACACCCAGTTAGTAGCGCTATGTCAGAACAGCCTCCCAGAGGCCAGCGCCAACCACCCTGATGAAGAACAGGTCCTGCGATGAAGTCTTCAGTGCCGATGGACAACTCTGACGAAGGAACAGGCAGCTATGGCTGCCACCACCCACGAATCACCACTGTAGAGCCTCTATACAGCCCGGCCATACGCAGATACCCCCAGGGGTAGGTGCGCTGAGAGTGCCCCAGCTTTGGCAAGCTCAGAGAGGGCCGGCTATGGCTGCTGTTGCGGTCTGTCCCAGGATGCCGCCGGTAGACAGGTACCGCTTCCAACTCGCTTGGCTTCTCCAACGCTGCTCGCGAGAAATGGACTGCCAAAAGTCCTGAACCGATGGGCCTAACCCGTCTATAGACTCCCTAGACCTAGACCGGACTGACTGACCGATCGGTACCGTTGCTGTTTCGGCCTCTAGGCCTCTACCGGACCCGGCTATAGGCTATAGGACCGTCTAACAGTATAGGCCGCTTAGGGCCTGTCTATCCTAGTGGTAGCCCGGGCCTGCTATAGGCAGTTAGGGTAGCTGTAGGAATCCGGTTAGTACCGGGCCTGTAATTTCCCGGACTTGCAGATTTGTCCCCCACAGATTTCCTTACAGGCAGGTCTCCCGGTTAGCCCTCAGCCAAACAAAATTACGAATCTAACCTACCGGGTTAGTGTACAGCCTCGCTGTCAGTCTCGGCAGCAAAAATCAGCAAGTCATTGCAGGCTGACCCTCCCCGGGAGCGAGGACCTCCGAGCTAGGGGTGCAGACGAGGCGAACGGCGAAGGTCACCCTTCTGAGCCGCCTCATAGCGCAGTACAACAGACTTTGCTGTCTTGATCAGGTCTCTTCTGTAGAACCACCGGTTCTCAGAAGGGGGCTGGAAAGCAAACCTGACAAGATACTGCCGGTCGGAGCCTGTGCCCCACTCATCCTCAATGGCCACCACATCATATCCCTTGCCAGGGATTGGTGGGCCCCATTGAGGGGGCCGGTCAGGGAATGCATCAGCTGGCGTAAAAGGTACCAGCTTGGATGCATGGAAGACCGGATAGGTACGTAGATGCAGCGGGAGGTCGATAACATACGACGGGCCGAAAGGATCAGCGCCCACTGTATCTAGGACCTGCCACGGACCCAAGTAGCGTGGCAACAGCTTGGGGGAGATATCCTCCTCCCTCGACATCTCAGAACTGGCCACCCAGACATGATCGCCAGTACGGATGGGGGAAGGCCGCCTGTGGCGATTGGCTTGTTCAATAATGGCCTTTTGGGCCTTGGACAAGTTCGCGCGGGCTCTTTCCACATCCAGACGATAGCGTCTGGCGAACTCTGCGGTGCCTGGTGTCAGATCAGGCTTAGCCTTGTCGATGATATCATCGAGAGGCTGGCGTGGTTTACGACCCCAGTGTAACCGGCAGGCACTGAACCCTGTCGAGGAGTGGACAGACATGTTATACATGAGTTGTGCCCTCGCCAAGTGAAGATCCCAGTCCTGTTGATCTGGAAAGATGACAGGACGCAGCAACTGGAATAAGACTTGGTTCATCACCTCAGCCAACCCATTGGCTTCAGGATGATGACTAGAGGTTATGTCCAGACGTGAGTGCAAATAGTCCTTGCAGTAGGACTGCCACTCATCGCTGCAAAATCAAGGGTCACGATCACTGACGATAGAGGTGGGCGGTTCATGGTGTGTGACCCACCTCTCAGAGAAGGCTGCTCTCACAGCCGGTACCCTAGCTACCTCTGGCAAGGGTATGAACTCTGCGCATTTGGAGAACCTGTCCACGCAGACCATAACCTGACGCATGCCACGAGGGGTGGTCTTGCCTAGATCTGTGAAGTCTATCGACACAGATTGGGCAGGGCCATCAGGTATGGGTAAGGGTTTGAGCAGTCCCAAAGGAGGTTTACGCTGAACCTTGTTCCTTTGGCAGAGCTCACAGGTGCCCACATAACGCAGCATCTCACTCCGCATCTCCTTCCAGAAGAAGCGCTGCGACAGGGCTGCATAAGACTTTAGGAACCCGAAGTGTCCACGAGCATCATAACACTCTGACAACAGCAGTGTCCTGAGCCGCTGGTCCTGGGGAATGCACAAGCGCTCCTCACCTCTACTGTAGGTGTATAGCAGGTCTGAACTCAGAACATAGTCTGGTTCAGAGTTAGGATCTGCTTGCAGATTCCTGACAATGGGTCCAAAAGTCTCGTCCTGAGGCAGTAGACGAGCAATGGTCTGACGGGTCTCCTCTCCAAAGGAGTGAGTAGAGGAGATCAGAGCAAAAGAGTCAGGCCTACGAGAGAGGGCATCTGCTACCTTATTGTAGCAGCCCTTCTTGTGTTTCAGTTCAAAGTCAAACATGTCTATGAACTGAATGTACCGTGCCAGTTTATCGTTCAACTCTCCGTGGGACTTCATCCACTGTAGGGTGGAGTGATCTGAAAAAATCTTGAAGTGCCTGCCCAGGAGAAAGTGCTTCCAATGTTTCAGGGCACAGACAAGAGCATACAACTCTTTCTCGTAGGTAGAGTCCTGGAGCTTTTGAGTCTTGATCTTCTTACTCATAAACTCTACAGGTCGTAGACCATTCCCATCATCCTGCTGAAGCACTGCCCCAATGCCATACTGACTAGCGTCAGTGGTCAGGATGAATGGCAAGATGGGGTCAGGTAACTTTAGGACAAGCGCACGAGTCAAGGCCTTCTTGAGTCGTGTGAAGGCCAGCTGACAGTGGAGGGACCAAAGAAAGGGAGTGTCCTTCTTTGTTAGGTTAGTCAGGGGTGCAGCCACTGCAGAAAACTTCCTGACAAACTTTCTGTAGTAAGAGGCCAAACCCATGAAGGACCGGACATCCCTCACTGTCTGAGGCTGAGGCCACTCCTGAATAGCGGCAATCTAGGCTGCTTCAGGAGCCAGGCCATCTCCAGAGATTACGTGACCCAGGTAGATGGCATAGGGAACTCCAAAAGAGGACTTCTCTCTGTTGATCTTATACTGGCTGTCGGGTAACGACTGAAGTGCTCCGCATGTTCCCTGGCAGTTTTGCTGAATACCAGGATGTCATCCAGGTAGACAACCATAAACTTGTCCAGGTAAGGCCTGAAGATGCGGTGCATCTCAGTCTGGAAGGTGTTTGGGTCATTGCAAAGTCCGAATGGCACGACCAAGAACTCGTGAGTCCCACACCTGGTCTTGAAGGTTGTCTTGTAGACATCCTCCTCTACCATCTCAATCTGGTGATAGCCAGATTTGAGGTCGACTTTGCTAAACACTGTGCAGCCCTGCACCATGTCTAGGAGGTCATCGATCCTAGGAAGTGGCTCAGTACTCTTCCTAGAGATCTTATTGAGACCCCTGTAGTCAATGCACATCCTGAACTCGCCGTTCCCTTTGGGCACAAAGAGAACAGGTGCACCGAATTCAGATGTGCTGGGTCTGATCCAGCCTTTGCTGGTAAGGGTCTCAAGCTGCTTTCTGAGCTCCTCAAGCTCAGCAGGGGACATCCTGTAGATGCGGCCCTTGGGAGGGACCGCTCCAGGCAGCAACTCGATGTGATGCTTGGTTGGCCGGTTGGGAAGTCCAAAGGGCTCCTGCATCAGATCAGCATACTGATCTACCACCTGCTGTATCTCAGGAGGACAGGAAACAGGGGGAGCATCTGTTTGCTTGACCAGAGCAATAAACAGACGCTCATGGTGGTACTGGCGAGAGAGAGCATGGAACTCCCTCGCTCTCAGGCAGTAGCAGGAGGTCTTAGGGCGGTGCTCAGCAACAATCACGCATTGCTGATACACCCCCTGGCTGTCTGGTAGTTCAACTTTAGGGATCTGCCAGTCGACCCTAGGGTTGACTGCCCTCAACCACTGCATGGAGAACACCAAGTCAAAGGGAAGCTCAGGGAAGATGTAAAAGTTCAGACTGTGTCTGACTTTTCCTGTAGTATCGAAGGTCACAGGGATGCCCTTGACCTTCTCCCTGATGTTGATCACTGTAGAGTCACCAATCCGCACTTGCAGCAGCTGCTGCAGCTGCTGAACTTTCATACCCAGATGCAGCTTTTTAACTGCACTGGGAGATATGAAGTTCCGGGTGGCTCCACAGTCCAAGAGCCCAGTGATCCTGGTGCGGTTGATCAGTGGCCGAAGCATGATGAGTTCAGATAGGCCCTTCTTCTTCTGCTCTTTCAAGTGGAAGAAGAAGGCAGCAATGGACTGAAGCTCATCCTGCCCCGGGTCCTGATCCGGGTCAGGATCCTCATAGCAGAAGGATGCTTCCCGCGCAGTCCCCAAACACACATCATCACAAACAGTCTCAACTGAAACAGCTGCAGATTCACCTATCTAAATAGATGAAGATGCAACACTGGAGGGAACTGCAGTCCCCAGGGTCTGTTTCAGTTTTTTGACTGACCCGGGCCTGGCATGTAAGGGCAGTCCTTTAAGAAGTGCTGTCCCTCACATCTCAGGCAGACCCCCTTCTCCTTTCTTCTTCTCCAGACTCCCTCCTGGATCTTGAGGTCATGCCAGGGGAGTGTGGAGGGATTGAAAGGGTCAGCTGACATGTGGACGTCTCTAGGCAGGTTAGGGCGCTGGGAAGCGGGAGGACGACGTCCCTTATCCTTCCCCTTGGTAGTGGCTGAGGCTGTGGGGGTGGAAAACTTTCTCTGCGATTGCAGAACACCCAAAACAGCCTGAGTCACTACTGCTGCCACATTTGTCTCAGCAGCAGATCCGATCCCCCCTGAAGGCACATCAGGCTGAGAATCGGTATCTGATCCTGAGGCAGACCCCGCATGAGTAAAGGCTGCCTTTCCCCTTCTGTTGCCTCTAGGGAAGGCACCTTTCCTCCTGTCAGAGGTTGGGGCCTGGACATGGAGCTTAGCCTCCATTTCCAGGGCTGCACGACCAAAGGACCTCCAGTCCTTGTACCCAGCGTTGTAAAGTGCAACAGCGAACTTCTCAGGCGCTGCCCTGCAAAAGCTGGTCAACATATCATCAGGTGCCATGACCAGCCCAGGGGTGGAGGTGAGCTGCTCGAACTCAGCAAACAAGGCCTGTAGGGTGCCACTGTACCGCTGCTGTCCCAGGCGAGAAATCCTGTCAGCAGCCTTGCGGGCCCGCTCCTTGTCTGCAAACCGGTCCTCCAAGGCCTGCAGAAGTCTGTCTACCCCCAACCCAAAAACCCAGTCCTCCATCGGCTGCTGCAGACTGCTGGAAGTTGAGGTGGCCCACTTCAATGCAGGCCCTTCCAGCAGCCCCAAAACAGTTGCCACCTTGGTCTGTTCTGCACAGACAAAGCCCCTCAAGTAGGCTCTGGTCCCAGCAGCCCAGTCCCCAACATCAGTCTTGGGGTTATCGCCCCTGAACTTGTTGGGAGCAGGGATCTTGGGACCTCTGTCTGCTGCAGTCACAGCAGCACAGGTGGCCTTTGCTGAGGCCTTTTGGGAAGGAGTAGATGCCCGGGAAGAATGTACCGATCCCCATGGGATGAAGGAGGGGAAGGAGGTGGTGATGGAGGAGGAGAGGTTTTGGGTTTCAGCAGAGGGAGCTGAGGAGTAATCAGCTTGGCGGCTGCCAGCTGAGCAGACAAGCCCTGGATAGAGTCCAGGATCTTGGACTGCTGAGCTGACAGCTCGTCGACCCGACATTCCAGCCGCACAAAACGATCATCCCAGTTTGTGAACTAGGAGCTGGTGATCTTGTGCTCCAACAAGATCATCTCATCCATGTGCTTGGTGACCTGGGAGCACCGATCATCAGTGAGCGACTTCTCTAGCTGCTGCAACAGATACTCCCGTCTGGAGTGATCTGTTGCAGCCCCTAGCTCAGCAGCCTCCAGCCGTTCCAATTCGGCTACTCTGGCCTGTTGCAGCTTTAGCTTTTCTTCTGCCTCCTTCTTCAGCCGCTGAGTAGCAGTCAGAGGTGGAGGGGGAGTAGTGGAGGAAGAAGGCTGTTCACCTGCTGCCTTCACCACAACCTCTACAGGTGGCAGCTGCTCATTCCCCTGATCCGACATTTTCCCAGTTCAAATAAAACCCAAAATAAAATAACAGCAGAAAGAATTGCAGCGATACACAGATTCTTGCAGATCCCCTCGCATCGCTGCATCACTCAACACTGGAGTAGGTGGGTGAGTAGGCAATCAACGGTTTGGGGTCAGAAGGGCGTCTCTGGGGTCAGGTGTGAGGTAGACTGTAAGCCACACAGTCACTCCACTAGTCTTCCAGAGACCCACTAGAAATTCCAGTGTCCATTAGAAAACAAGTGTAATCAGTGGGAATGATAGAAACGGTTAGTACAGACACAGAGAGATCAAATACCATAAGCGATGCAGACAAGTACCCTGTAACCTAGCTCAGACTCAATTTCAGACCCTGATGACTCTGGCGGCCATACCCTAGGGTATGGCGAATCACAATTTTCACTGTACCCAGTGAAATACTAGAAATCCAACCCTGCGATTTGACAGTACTGACTGTTTCCAATTTGCGATTTACTGGGGACTGACAGAACTGACTTCTGACGGACAGAATTGAAGTTATGACTGACCCTAGGTAGCACAGGCTAAAAATAGACTCAGCGCAAAACAACAATTCACAGTATCACTACTTTTCCAGTACAGAATTCACCGTCTGAACATCCCAGGATAATTGCAATACCGTATAACTGTCACAGGACAAGTTTGGACTAGAAAGAGTCAACAGATGATAAGATATGAGCAGAGGGAGATAGGGAGAGAGATGGCTATGGCTGTCATGCAATCTACGATTTTCATATCCAGTCACTGACAGACAGATAGACCATAATCTTTCACTAGTCTACTACTATCTGGATCGCAATACAGGTAGGTGCATGGAACGGACTCACTTGCAGAGAATCTTGCAGGTGATGATGAAGATCTGGCTATGGTTGATGATACCCTGATCTCGCCAATTTCCTCCAGAGCTTCTCCCAGATAATCCCACGCACATAACTGCTTCCAATTTGTTGATCCTCTTCAGGATCCTATGGCGATACACCCCTTCACTCCAGATACTCTATATCTGGTCCTGTGACACCCAATTCGCCAACACCACAATCTCTCGCCACAGTGTCAGGTAGCCGCTGATGCTAAAAATAGCCCCAGATGGGGTTATTCTTCCTGGAGATTGATTCAGGATGTCAATCTCACCCAGCACCACCCAGGGATGCTGCTGCTCAGGGTTCCCTGATGTCCTCAGGGGTAATTCGCCACTCTGGGGTAATCCGATGTATCACCCTCAGTGTTGGCTATGGCGAATTAGCGCTGTACTCGCCACTCCTTGCCAAGCGCCCTGACAGGCTCAGTGCGCTTGCTCAGTGCAACCACTGAACACTTGAATTCACCGCTGAAAACCTTCTTCCCTGCTGACTCAGTACTGGGGAAGATGAATCACCATGAAGCTCTCGCCAATATATCGTCAGGATGAAGAACATGCCTCAGTACGCTCAACCCTCAGCGCTCCAATTCCAATCTTGTTCCGATACCAACTGTTATGAACTTGGTTGTCTGACGAATTTTCTCGCCACTCACACACAGACAGTCTCATACATGCCCATACATGCACAAGAGATGGGGAGAGAGGAGACAGAGTCCCCACTGCACACAGGAGAACTAGACCGGTACTGACTGGCCGACCGGTACCGTTGCTGTTTCGGCCTCTCGGCCTCTACCGGACCCGGCTATAGGCTATAGGACCGTCTAACAGTATAGGCCACTTAGGGCCTGTCTGTCCTAGTGGTAGCCCGGGCCTGCTATAGGCAATTAGGGTAGCTGTAGGAATCCGGTTAGTATCGGGCCTATAATTTGCCGGATTTGCAGATCTGTCCTTCACGGATTTCCTTACAGGCAGGTCTCTCGGTTTAGCCCTCAGCCAAACAAAAATTACGAATCTAACCTACCGGGTTAGTGTCAGCCTCGCTGCCAGTCTCGGCAGCAAAAATCAGCAAGTCATTGCACAGGACTGTTATTGCCATTAGGAGGGGAAAAAAAAGAAGATCAAGACGAGGGGTGGAGTTGGGCGCTGCAGTTGGCAACAGCCCTTACTTTTTTGGCCAGTGCTTGCTACTACAGGCCTCGCTCCACCACTCACCAAGTGTACAAAATGAGAATGAATCTTCCGCTAGAACACGGAAAGATACCCCGCCATATTTTTTGTCGTTGGTGCATGTCATGGGTGGTGGAGCGAGCATGGACAGTCTGGTCACGCTCCACTACTCACGATATGCACAAAAGGTAAAGAGTATGGCAGTGTATATTTTCATGTTCCAGCGACGATTCAGTCTCGTTTTGTCCACTTCGTGAGTAGTGGAGCGAGGCCTATAGTGTCAGTACAGTGATTTGAGGACAGGATGTCAGTGACAACGGGGCACAGTGTCAGCCACCATTGTTTGCACAAACAATCTGAATGTATATTGTTCTGATAGGCCTACAGCGATTCAGCCCCCAAATTCAAATTTCAGGGTCCAGATCCTAGGCCAAGAAAGGCAAATTCGGCCAGTTTCAGAGAAGTCACAGTCAGGTACCTTAGGAGTAAAGTCCAACAGGCACCCAATGAACAGTCACATCCCAGGGGCAGAAGTCACGTGTCATAATGAAAAGTCATATCGAAAAGTCGACATCCCACAGGCAAAAGACACTTTCCCAAGCAAAAGTCGTGTCCCAGAGGCAAGAGTCACAATCCACAGTCAAAAGTCATGTTCCACAATTGAAAAGTCGTGACTCACAGACCCAAGCAGCAGCACACCAATGGAAATTCGGGAAAAGTACCAGGCCCTGACATTCTGAAGCAAACATGCCGTGGGGATGTGGTACCAGAACCAAGTCAAGCCCCAAGAAGCAGAGGCTGGGCCGAGTTGAAGCTCAGTCCAAGACAATAAGGACTGGCCAGCCTCCTCATTCGGGCAGATTGCTCATTCGCATGAAGTGTGGAAGTGCTGGTGCACTTGTGCGCTATTGTGAGGGCAGAAGCGCTGAGCCAGGGAGCTGCGCTAGTAGAGAGAGAGAGAGGGAGCAGCCATAGCTCCGCCAGTGCTTCGTAGTTAGTAGTAGGCCTCAGAGGGGTTAGTAGAGTTAGCAGTGGGTGTATTCAGAGTTGGTTCTTGAGTAGTAGAGAGTGTGAGTGCATGCAAGTAGGAAGAGAAGACACAGGGAGGGAGTAGACAAAGAGAAGACTGTGAGAGGAGAGAGAAGAGCAGTGAAGTGAAGAGATACTTACCTGAATGAAGATACCGGTTACTTGGACCTGCGTGATTGAGTGCTGGTGACCGGAACTCTTAATTGCTCCTATGATAATTTGTTGGAATTATACAGCTGCGCTTAC